AGCCGTGCCGTCACACAAGGCGCATGGGGCGTCTGCCGGTGACACTGGAAGTCGAAGCCGAAGCTGCAGCATGATGCGGAAGAGGTTGGAGTCGACCTTCATGCCAAGAGCTTCGCTGGGAGGCGCATGCAGCCAACTCCCGCCCCAGGCTGCTGGAGCAAGGCGAGGTGCGCCCGAAAGGCCTCGCGACCCGGCGCGGGGGCCATCAGCTCAACGATAGCCGCCTGGTCCAGCGCAGACGACAGCTGTTGCTGCCCAAGTTGGTTTGCGCCGGAGGCAGGAGGCGGTCGGCTGGCTGGCAGGCCGTGTTGAAAGAGGCAAGAGCAGTCTCAGTGAAGTGGCAATGGTCGCTGTAGGCCGCGTCGAGCTCCCGGGAGCGAGGTCCAGTGGCCAGCACCGAAGCCAAGTAGGCCGCACAGCTATGCCGCGCAGCGCTGCGAAGCCCAAGGCCCCCACAGGCAGTGCTCAGAGTAGCTTGCACTCGGGAGGCGGCAGTGAGGGCGACCCCACAAAGAGCTTCCAGGCAGCTGAAGACTTCATGGTCGAAGGCACCCATGGCTTGCGCTAAGGCTGATGGCGGGGTCACTCGAGTGGCAAAAACAACCTTGCTGTAGGAAGCGCAGTGTCGAAGCAGGAGCAAAGCTGTCTGGGGGTCCGGCAAGTCCTTAAGAGCCCGCAGCAGCGGCAGGGCTTTGTCAACCCTCTTCTCCAAGGTGTAGGCTTCACAGAAGATGTCCGGCCCAACCGGGGCACCCAGCAAAGAGGCAGTGCCAGTCATGTTGAAGGGGATGCCAGCAGGGAAGGCGTTCACGTCAACAGAGTGGGCGACGCCGGAGCAGGTGATGAGCTCGCACTTAGCGGGGTTTAGTCGCAAGCCGGCATGTTGCGGCCGCCGTGAGCCTTTGTAATGCAGTTGCAACCTGGCGGTAGTCGCCGGCCAGCAGCACGTCATCCAAGAAGGCTGAGGTGATGTCAGGCTTGTCAGTGGACCGCCCACCAGCCGCGGCAAGGAGGGCTGGCTGCAAGGTAAGAGCAAAGAGCAAAGGCCCAAGTGGATCGCCCTGCTGGACGCCCGACTCCGAAGTGAGTGCCGCACCGTCACAAAGTAGTCGGGAATGGGCTCCATAGCACCACTCCACCCACGGAGCCAGCCCAGGCAGGTGGGCCCGCACCTGTCGCAAGAGCTCTGGCCTGTCCAGCACATTAAAGGCGTTCTCAAAGTCGACCTTGAGCAGCACCTTTGTAGCAGAGCCAGTGTTCCGCACGAGCCATTGTCGTACAGCATGGATGATGGCCTCGGTCCCAAGCGGCGTGGCCACGCCAAGCTGCAGCGGCACCCTACGCATGCCTCCGCGAGCCGATGCAAGACTGCACACTTCAGGCCGCAGGCTACGCGAGCGTTCTTGCATCTTCATTGCCATCATGGCTCCTACATACCCCCCAAAATGCTCGGGTGACTCAGGTGCCTTCTGTATCTCTGTCACCTTCGATTTTGGGAGCCTGACCTGCCCCAGCCCCATGCGGGGTCGCTCCAGGTAGCTCGCAAGCTGGTGTAAGACTTGCCCCATATCTGTCCTCTCAGCAGCGGCGGCAATCTTGCGTCAGTAATGATTTAGGCTTAGCGGGCTGGAAACTTGGCATACTAGGAATGCCCATTTCTGACGCGTGTCCCAGAATGTAATACGGGCCTAGAATCGAGCCGTCCCTTGCGCTACTTTGCGCCTCACTTTGCTGCCGGCGCTGCTTGCTCTGTTCAACGGGCTCCCGCTTGGCGAGTCCATATGAGCATCTTGCCGAGCAAGAACTTGATGATTCTCATGGCGTGGAGTGCTCTTCAAATTCAACAAATCACAAGAAAAATCTGGGACGCTGCCAGTCTGTGAGAACTGTCGTAGACTTCTTGCGGCCGTTGTAGTATTTGCCGCCGCTTCAGCTTGCGCTGTCAATTGTTGTTGTGAGACTGCCCCAGCTGTAATCGCCGTAATCTGTCCTACATCCGTGCTTTTGACATTGTCATGATTGTGCCCAAGAGCCATGGTCGGATTGTTCAGTTGTCGTGAGTCCTGTGTTCAAGCACTGCTGGGGCACGTTTCTACTTGCACTGAGGTCTTCGCCACATTCTGTGCTCTGGCGCTTGTGCGTTCTGTTCGCGCTTTCCCTCTTGCCTCTGCACTCGCACGGCCTGCTCTCCCTAGCAGTCGCCGACAGTTCCACTCAAAGCTTCATATCCACTTTCCAACTTGTTGAATTGGGCATTGTTCCGCAAAGCAACTCTTTGACATCTGCTTTTGCCTGCGCCCTAGGTGCCGTTTGCAAAGCCAATAGGTCCTGGTAGGAATGTACCAAGAAAGCTCAAAGGAGGTGAGCAAATACGGACAACGTCCGCAAGAGGAAAAGCAAGTCAAGGCCCACAAAGAATCACGGGCGGCAGAAACGGAGGAGAATACCTGTAGAGACACAGAACAGTCGTCGGGTTGGCCCTCACAGATTGTAGACGTTCGTGTTGCCACCTCATTGACAGCAGCTGAAAACTCAGCGAAGTGGGCTGGGATGGGGAGCCCTGACAAACCAAGGACAGTTTGGCCGACAACGGTGAAAGCTGCTTTTGCCTCGCCCTGTCTCTAAACTACTCTCCTGAATCTTGTAATGCAAGCAACAGCAACACGCTCGAAGCCCATTGCCGACGCAGACCGAAAGGATCCTTCCTTTCCCAGCATGCAGGAATGGTTTCACAGACAGCAGTTTTCACCCGCCACACTCATGTGCAAAGCTCTCACGCATGCCTCATTACCTCCAGGTTCACCGGTAAACTACCACACAAGAACTCTAGATTACCGAGGCCCCGGCGCCCAATGGCCAATGCAAGGGCCCCAAGCTTACCTTCGCTGGGTCCTTGCTACGCACATTACGCACATCATAAATGATCTGTTGGACATTGATCTCCATCTGTCCTCGATCACGACTTTCTGCGATAACTAATCGATCGGGTATCAGAAGTGAATCTTCTCGCAGCACGCCAAGTTCTGCAAGGCCTCAATCAACAGTCTCGACACTGGCAAGCATCAGTAGATTGGATTGGGAAGCCGCGGCAGTACCTTGCTGGTTCAAATTCAGCCCGGCCTTCCCCAAAGAAGCCGTGCTGTGCGACGTCCTTGCGCTCTGAACGCCGCCAAGGGATGCCTCAGCGCGAGGTAAGTGGCCAGCATGCTTGCGTGACACCTTGCTAGTGGCCTGCTCCAAGGGCCCCACGGAGGCCTTTGATGCAGCTTGCACAACCATCCATCTCTTGACGGCCAGTCGCGTCCAGGTCATCATGCTACTGTGTGAGAGAGAACAATTCTTTGCTCAGATTGAATCCGCACGCATGGGATGTCTATGGATAGTGCTGGAGAATCATTCTGAGCGCAAGGTGAGTGACTCGGCCATAGTACCTCGAAGTCTAGCTAGACTCAATGAGACCGTGATCTGGCTTTGGTTGCTTTCTGCTTGCCCAGTGCTTGGAGCCTTGAAGCTCGCGGCAGGCTTTGGACTGATGCCGCTCTCGCAAGCTGCACACCGCACTACTCCAAATGCTGTCTGTCCGAGCGCTCAACATCGTCGGATTGACGGCTGTGCTGAGTTGGAACCTGCCCATATAAGCGTTGCTCTAAGCAATCCATTTTACAACGTCAAACATAACAGAAGGCACAACTGTTTTCTGAAAGTCTGTACCTTGTCTTTATCATCTCCAGCGGCTGTACCTCGCCACATGAACGAAGCCGGGAAAGCAAGCTGGTCATGCAGTCAATAGCAGCAATATCAAGCCACCACAATGGACTCGACGCCGCCAGCAACGCCGCCAGCAACGGCAGCTTCACGAACCATGGCTCTAACAGGGCCTAAGGCATCTGCGCACCAACATGCCCTCGCAGTCCACAAGCTATGTGTTTGGGAAAGACAGACGGAACACAGCGCTCATGCTACGAAAACTATGCTCCATCGTGCTCCCTCTCCCAGCCTCAATGGAAGACCTTCCGAATCTCACTGAGGAGGCAATCTGCTTAGGAGGCAATCTGCTTAGGATCGGCTCCCTGCACACCCCCGAGGGTCTTTCAAAAGAAATCTCCCCCTTGAAGCCATCAAGGCTCCGCAATGAAACCAAGTTATTCTCAAGTCAGCTGACTGTGTGCCCTTTCACTATACTCTACATCGTGTGAAACCTTGCAGGCAGGACATCCGAGCCGAAACCTGGCTGGTTGGTCAAGAAATGTTCCATGGCGTTCCGAAACATTGCAGCTGGTCACTTCTGATGGCAAGAGCATTGGTACAGTCTTAGTAAACGGATGCAAACAGCAGCGCTTTGATCAACATCCATGCGCCAGCGCAAGGAAATCTTCTTGACTTCGCTAGCATGTGTTGACTCGAGCGTGCAGCGGAGTGTGAATACAGACTCACGCGAGCGCTGGCGCGAACCGGGTCCTCGACCTCCTTCGTACGGCTCTCCATATCCTGCACCTCCTGCGGCGTCTTGAGCAATTTGACACTACACGCAGTACTGGTGCACTGCAAGAGCCAGTGTCCTTTCTTCAGAATGCTGTAGAGGCATTGTCTCCGAAAATGTGCCGTGGACGTCTTTGGACTATGCTGGTGGTCCCGAAAAGAAAGACCTGGCCGCCGCGGGCATGAATAAGAGGATTACAAAAGGACGACAAAGGAAACATGTGCGGTAGATGTCCACCGTAGAACACGGAGCAGCCGCCTCGCGAAACCATTCCGGCCACACATGACCTTTAGCTGGCAGTTGCTGAAGCATCCTACTGCCTGGACAAGGGAATCCACGATAAGGCCTCTGTAAAAAAGATAAGCTTACGCGGAACTTACTTGTGGCACACGCCACAGGAGGTTGGGTGGGGAGGTATGTTTGACCTTAAGCCTGGCCCCGATTAAAAAGCATATGCCTGCATGACTGTGTTGAAATCGGGGCTTATTGAACACCTCGTCATCGCCGAGAGAAATGAGGCTCAGGAGCGCACATGTTTTCGGTTCGAGAACTCTTTCAGGCCGTCCCGTCCCCAGAAGCTGGCGCCTTGCACCCATATGGGATAAACGCTGGAGGATTAAGTATTCAATAACTTGCCGAGTCACCTGTGCCACTTGGTCCTGTTCCACCAATGCTCGCTGCGTAGTTGGAGATCAGGCGCTGAATCACAAGCGAGAGTGGCGAATGCAGCAGGAACAGACTGCATCACACACTGCGATTGCGTGCCATTGGCCCTCCGTTCACGGCGATATTGCCCGCAGGCACGTGGTTGATGAATTCCAACTGTCGCGACCTGTCCTCAACAAGCATACTAGGCCCCACAAAGCAACAAAAGTAAGAGTCAGCAGATGGCGGCATCCTTCGTGTAACAGTAAGCGATCAGCGGTTTCGCAGCAACTTGGTTGATGATCCTGATAGCCTGGTAAGTCGGTGTGGTCCACACAGGAACACATACGACGTCCGTCGGTGTTGGTGTGGCATGGTGGCCGGTGCCGGGCCTCCTTCACGTCCCGGACACGCACGATGGGGAGCAGCGGTCCGAAGATTTCTTGCTGGAAGACCTCAGCAGCTTCTTGAGCAAAACCGTCAGCAGGCAGTTCTGGAGCATTTGGGCCTGCTCCGCGATTCATTAAGTATGCCCCTGGCTGCTCGCTCTCGCGAAGGAGAGATAATCCCCGTCATTGGCACTGACATCGCCTCTTGACGAGGAATGAGCATGTGGCACTTGAGAAGTCGAAGAAGACCTAATAAACGCGCGGCTAAGCCTTATTGCGGTTGGTCAAGAGGGTATGGATATGGCATGATATGGCATGTGAGAAATAAGCACCCTGGCTTTGGAGGATCTTTGGCCAAAACGTCATTTAAAAGCTTACTGCTCCCTTCTCAGATGCGCGTGTGGAGGCACAACCTGGTAGACGTCAAATTCATGACGCCCTCCTGGCACTTTGTGTCCTGGCCTCGTCGTGAAAGTCGAATTCACCACCCATCGGGGGAATCTGAACGTGCCACCCATGTGAAGGCAAAACATGACACGCAAGACTTTCATGCTGAGGTCCCGGCCAGCTCAGCTTGGCAGTCTTTGATTAAACGACGCATTGTCTCGTACTGCTTTTGCCCCAGCATCTGCACGTTGCGCCTTCCATGAGAGGATGGAGTGGAATTTGCTTACAAGCCTGGCCCAGGACGAAACCAAGAATCTTTTCTGAAGGTGCGCTGTGGCCATTTTCTGGCAAGCCCACAGCTGGCGGCCTGGAGCCAAGGTCTTCCACCATGGCCTGGCTCCAATGAATAGGCTAAAACTGGTGTGTCGGCTCCTGACCTTACTAAGGGGGGTGCAGAAGTAGAGTATGCTTCAGGAACACCATTGTCAATGTGCTAAGTGGTTTAAGCGTCAGCCAAAACATTAAGCTGTGGGGTGCCAAATTATAGTGAAGACAAACAGTCTTGAATTGTTCTTTGAGGCTTGCTATTTTCTGGGCACTTAATCCAGGCATTAGCTGGACAACCACATCAGACAAGTGATTGGCCACTTGTTTGTCGCATGTAAAAAGGGCCGTTCAATTCTGGGTCTTAAAGCTTCTGCTAACTGCACTTATTTATCATAGATACAGACTGTGGGTCTAAAGTTTTACAATAATTTCCTGTAAGGCTTGAACCGAAAGTCGGGACGTGACTTTTAGCAGCTAGTAGCGCTGTATGAGTGGTCCGATTTAACCACATACTCCGGAGGACAACAAAATCTTTCGAAGTAGCCGCCACAAGACGTTAAAGCTCAAGCTTCAGAACGTCCATTGCAGGAGTCATAGAACCATAGCGTTTTCTCTGATATCCAGGGTCTGCAGAAGCTTCAACATCCAGAATCGAGGGGACACCAGCTCCACGTAAACGCGCTTTTCCAGTCATCCACGAAAACAAATAGCCAATAAATTGTCCAAAGGTCAGTCCAGCAAATGTCAGGATCACATTCTAAAGGAACCTTCCAAGCCAGAGGGCTTGCAAGCTCAAACTTTGAAGGGCTTCTTCATGTTAATTTGAAAGCCATGTAGCTGAGAAAGCCAAACCTGACGAGGACAAACTATAGCGGACAGTCTGTACTACTGCCGCTGCTACATGCTGCTACCACCCCGGGTCCCTGAAGGGATTTTTCCTTGAAAGGACGATCGCCGAGCAAGCAACGATAAGAACCATGAAACTCAGGTAACAGCGTGATGGCAAGATAGTAATGCTGCTGAGGACGATAGCCGCTAGCCATGATGATTGCATATTGTCATCTTGTCGGGTGCTTAGGGTTCGTACAAACAGCCAAGCAGAGCTGGTTGCCGTTTTGCTTGACAGCAAGTGCTGTGGCGTGTGAGAACCTCGAGCTTGTATGGCTACTTCAAATGCTTACGCATGAAAGCTACAGTAGGCAGATGCTCCTGCACACCGACAGCTCCATTTGTAGTCCAACGAGCACAGCTCTGTAAGATCCGTACTTTGCGGACAGCCAAGCCCATGAGTTGTCATTGGGTAGGGCGGGTAGGGTATAGGTGCTCTGGGAAACGAACGGTTCTGGTCTTTGCCACCATAGATGAAAGGGAAAGGAAAAGCAAATGGGCGCGCAAGAAAGAAGTTCGGTGTGCTCGACAAAACGCATGTTGAATCCTGCCGCCAGCTAATGTAGCACTGACAGTGATATAGCGTTGAGAACGCCGGTCCACAAAAATAAAGAAGAATACCATCGCTTTAAAACGGATTCGGAAACTGGAATTCGGAAACTACTACGCGCGGATTCGGAAACAAAAGCATGTTGAATCCTGCCGCCAGCTAATGTAGCACTGACAGTGATATAGCGTTGAGAATGCCGGCCCACAAAAATCCAGAAGAATACCATCGCTTTAAAACGGATTCGGAAACTGGTTCGGAAACTCCTACGCGCGGATTCGGAAACTACTATGCGCTTGGAATCGTAAACTGGGGCACGGATGCGGAAAGTGGAAGCGTCCGCGACTTTGGAAAGTGATCGAACACGTGGACTTCCCTCTGTCAGTCAATTCCTCTTCTCTCGCAAGGTGAAGAGGGGTTCATTCGAACATACGACATACGTCTCTACGTGGCTTTCCTTCTGTCACTTCGTTCATCTTATCGCAAGGTGAAAAGGGGTCTGGTTTTAACATGTGTCCAGAGCCTCTTGTTGCACGGTGAAGGGGGATTGATTTTGACACATGTCTTTACCAGGCTTTCCCTCTGTCACTCAATTCCTCTTAAATCGCTATGTTGAAGGGGGTGTGATTGTAAGACCTGTCTCTGAATGGCTTTCCCTCTGTCACTCAATTCCCCCTGTCGCAAGTTGGGCTTTCCCGTCACTCAATTTCTCTTATCTCGCCATGTGAGGGTTTGCGAAATAGATTCTGAATCGAGCGAAATAGTTTCTGAATCGAAGTTTCTGAATCGGGCCAAGTGTTAGCTGAATATATATCTGAACCGTAGTTTGTGAATCGGCCTGCTTTCTTGAATTGGTGCCAGTAGTTTCTGAATCGGTGCCAGATGGTGCCAGTAGTTTTTGAATCCTAGTTTCAGAATAGGTGCAAGTAGTTTCTGAACCGGCCCAAATAGTGTCGGAATCGAGTTCTGGATCGGTTTTCAATCCAAAAAACGCCGGGTGTTCATTATGGAATGGAGTCTTGCCCTGCAGAGCTTCTACAGGATCATTATCGCAAACCCCAAACCATGGTAAACGAAAATCGCACAACCCGGTCAGTGAAATATCATGTTGTCAGGGGTGGCCGTTGCTAGAGCCAACCCCAGCAGACCTCTGTTTCTTAATTGGGCCTGTTGATCCCACCCGGGTTGCGGCCTCATAAACTTTGCTCCTTCGAAGTTAAATCAAATGAAGCGCTGTTGGATTCCCAAGAGCCTGAAACACTCAAGATGATAATTTGTATGCCAAACAAGCTCTAAGCCCGAATTGGGCGCGAGCTCAAGATCAAGAAGAGGCAGGAGGCGCTGGAAAGCCGCAAAACAAAAAATGGTGCCAGGCGATGACGTGGCATCCTTGGTAGGTCCGCACGCTTTATTTCCCCACACTCTCTCTTGCGGACTCGAAGCGTATATTTCCCCACTGAAACCTGCAACATAGCAACAGGCAATATATGCAAAAACAAATGGAACCATTCCAATACTTGGCATCTCCTACTAACACCATTACAAGTCAAACAGAAATACGACTGATTTGAAGGCTACTGCTAACTCAGTACTGGTGCTTCTACCTCGCACGGACCACTAATGTCAAAACGAATACACGCTCTGATTTTGGCGTCACCAAACGGGATCAAAGCAAGGCAGGAGCTCCCAGAGACAGCAAAAGTGAAAAAAAGACGAGAAAAGACATCAGCATGCTTCTAAGCCAAGGCTCAGAGCCCAAAAGCTGTCAAGAGCTCTGCCAATCCCTACTGCAGTAACCCCCCAAACAACTTTTCACAACACCGGTGGACCCCTTGCTATTGAGAAGAATGCTATGATACAAATACAGATGCTGATAGTGGATCGGGGAGATCAGGCACTTAAGATGAGCGATCATTCGCAGGATTAAACAGGGCCCCACGTCAGACTGATGCGCGAAGGCACTCCCAGGCCTTGAACACGTGGCAAAACTCAGAGAAAATCGAGTCGTGGATCAAGACCTTGGGACCAATTCATTCTCGTGTGGGACCAAGATGTTCCTGCCATGTCTTCCGCACCTCTCAGGATCCTGCATAGTCATGGGCACAACAAAACTGCCCCGTTTTGTAGACCTGGCAGCATGTTGACAGCAACATACAATGGCCAAAGCAAAAGCAACCCTTGATCTGCCCCACATGCATTTTTTGGCAGGCTCCTAGCGCCGTGGTTTCGCATCGAGATTTAGCAAGGCTCCACGCGAGGCCCTACGAACGTGGCACGGGTGCTGCAGAAGCGCGTGTCGCACTTTAGATCTGAGCCGCTTCAGGCCAGTGACCAGTGAATGGCAGACTGTACGCCATGCAGGACATTTTCGATTGTCCAGAAAATCCATATACCTGTGACCTGCCAGTCCTGCACAACTACACAAAGCAAAGGCTTGTTGTGGGCAAACTGGCTCAGATAATCACAACCATCTTAAAGTCAAAGTCTCTGCAGCTAACTTTATGAGATTCCCAGCCCAGCAATTTTGCAGATCGGTGGGGGGGAGTTGTCGCAGCTTTCTTTTTGTGCAGTCAGGAATTTGGATTGCAGAGGTTTTGCTGTTTTGCGGATTGGATTTTCGGGTATCTTGGTATGAAAAACAGACTTCTGCAAAATGCCGTGCGTTTTTGCAGATTTGCGTTTTCTTCGGTTCGGGTGTTGCGACATACTGCAAAATGCATTGTGCTTTGCAGATGCCTGACTTCTCTGCTTACTGCGCAATCCAATGCGCAACCAAAAATGCAAACATTTTGCAAAACACAGCTTGTTTTGCAGAAGTTTACTTTTGCTTCACCACGAAATCAAAAACACCAAACAACAAATCTGCAAATCATCTGCGAACAATCTGCAAAAATATCTGCAATCCAAATTCCTAACTTAAAAACGTCTGCAAACATGATTCTGTTGAAGCACACCCTCCGCGGCTGTGAGATTCCTATACAGTTAGCTGACCATTGGAATCCTACCACAACATTTCAGGAGGAACCCCAGTATGGGTACATGTGCCAGTGCTAGCAGGCATGGGCGAGGTGGCGGCTAAATACAGAGCGGCAAAGCTGCAGTGACGATGCATGCCGTCGCATGCATCTAGCAGAGGCCTTCGTCTCAAAGATCTCTTGCACGATGCTGCGCAGCATCTCCTCATCCAACCTTGGGCCGGCCATTTAGCTGCAACTTTCGTATTGCCACCAGCATAGTAGCCTGAGCGCTACGTTTAGATTTAAATACGAGTCGCGCACCCTTCATCTACAAATGCAGGGCTTTTGCCGCCAAGCTCAAGGGTCACAGGGGTCAACACCTATCCCAAAAAATGCAGCTGCCCGTTGCCTCTCCAAATCCATGGGTTCTAAGCGAGCCTGACCGCAGCGAGCAGCAACAATCTTCGCGATTTCACCGCCGCCTGTAAATACCTTAGCTCAAGGGCCACTGGCCTAGTGACCACCTATGTCAGGTACATACGAAGGGAAGGGGGAAAGGGGAGGCAGGTCCGAGAAGGGCGGAAGGGGAGAACAGCGAGGAGAGAGCCGATATGTTAAGCTGTCAGTGGTGACCGATGATTTCTGCCGGTAGTACTCTTGCAAGTTCACGCTTGCTACTTAATCAGCCTCTGTTCCTGCTAGTGTTGACGAACATCAACTATCTGCTTGATTCTTATTTGTTAATTACTGGCCTCATCTCTTGCCTTAACTCTTGTTGTTTTTATTGCTTCTTGAATTGTGGTTGCTATTGCTCTATATGGCATGAAAAAAGGCCAGGACCGCACAGCCAGCAATGCTGCAAAGTGTGCGTTTCCCAACATTATAAGATAGTACTCCATTGCAAATCACGCTTCCACCTTTCCCATCCTTTTTCCACAACCGCGATCCCCGTCCAACCCCAGCGCAAGCGCCTGCCCAAAAACTCTGCGCAAAAAGCCAAAGAAGAGGATGTTGGCTGCCAGCAGTGACATTTTGGGGGGCAACAGGCGGCTGAAAACGTGCACACGAAGGCCGGCTTGCACCGTGCGCAAACGTGACTGAGAGCAGTCCAGGAGCACCACTCAGCGGCTTGTTTGGGAGCAATAGTGGCAAGTCACTACAAGTTCCGCACTGGCCAGTTTCTGTCATCGGCCATAAAAAATGATATGCACGAGCAACATGCGAAGGGCTTCGTCGGCTGAATTCCCCAGGAGTGAGAGAGCCTGTAAGTACGGAAGAAATGCCCGCTGAAATTGCATTCATTCGTCGGCTGATGCCGGCCTAAAAGCCCGCGGGCATGCAAGAACACTGGGGGTAATCTGAAAACACACCACACAGCTTGGGCAAGAATCGTAGCACACTTAATGCTGCTAATGTTAATCCTGCTCATGGATGCTCATGGTGCTGCCTTGCGTGAGCCATTGAAAAAGCTCCAAAAGGCCACACACGGTTGGGAGAATGCCCATTTTTTGAATCCATAGTGAGGCCCGAGCATGTGATGCACTTCGGGGTTGTCCAATATTCCTTCCTCTCGAATTGGGGGCTTGCGCCGTGCTTGCACGGAGCTTGTGCGCGCAGGGCTTTCGACAAATTATGCTATACTTGGTTTTCGTTGATCTGAAATTGTAGACAACGCTTTTCGGACAACCCTCACATGCGTTGGGGGCGCTCTCCAAGCTACCAACAAGCACAAAACAAGCCTATAACAGGGCCATGGAATCAAATAGCCCAGAAATCTGGGTTGACACGAAGGTCCAGTGTTTACATACTTGCCAGAATCTCGAACATGCGCTGTCCAGCCATGACGTTCACAAATAATCAGAAAAATGTTGGCAGTTTCATTTTCAAGGCGTAATAGAAGAACTGCCGCCCAAAGATTTCGCTGCTGGGTGGGCATGGCCCCCAAATTCCCAATACTCAGGGAACCCACAAAACCCTCACAAGGTAAGGAAAATGGGCTAAAAAATGATTCTCCTGATGCTGGCCCACGAGCCACTAGCACACACCCATGCGCGTGAAAGAGGAAAGACCCAACGATGCTGCTGATGCCGGCCGCCTTCGGGGACCCTCCTACCCAAAGCACACCCTTAGGCGGTGGTCCCATAGTGTCATATTTGGCAAGCGGCTCGTGACCTTCAAGGGGTTTCGCTCATGCTAATCTCTCAGGCGAGCTGCTGGAAGCCCCAAAAGCCCTCAATTACAGGGCAGGTAAGCAGGCTGCAACAACCCGTAAGAAAACCAACCTGCTTGTGCCCGAAGACCCTTGGGTAGAAACTGATGACCAATGAGGATGATGATGATGCTGCTGCTGCTGCTGCTGCGCCGGACTTTGTCTGTTGTGGTTGAGCGATGTGTGAGAGTGAGTAATTAAACTGAACCGCCAAGAGAAAAATGCAACCTGTGAAGAAAATTGGTCACGAAACGTACTGATCAAGAAACCACAACACCGCAAAATCCTGGGAAACTTGAGAATATTGGAAGACGTAGGCGTCTAATTGAATTCTCCGCCTTATACTTGGCTTTTGTTTTAATCTCACAGACCTGGTATGGCATTGCAATGTTGCTTGCCTGGGTTTCATTTATTGAGGGATGCAATCGACCAGGAAGGACGAATGGAAAAGCTTGCGAACAGCATGCGTAGAGAAATGACATAGTGGTACTCAGACAACATAAATTCCTAGATTATGACTGCCATGGGTATACTGTGTGATGCATCAGCCTTTGAAAGATCAGAAAGTTCTTCTGCTGCTCTGGTATTACCTTCCAAGCAACCTTGTAAATCTGATGTAAAGTCCCATGTCTCTTCGAGTCTGCACGGACAGCTCAGAACATGGCTTTGTATGCTACAACAGCCTGTGTCACATGTTCATGCTCCCTGCAGATTTTGCGGGCAGGCACGCTAATCATCATGCCTACGGATTCTCAAAAGGGCACTTCGGCCACGGATGGGTCAGGTGAGTCATGTGTCAACGACTGTGATCGAAAACCGGACGCGACTCCAGGTACCAGCATGCCAGCTTAGCCTCTTGGCAGCATCACGGTCTTTGAAGCGTCAGTGAATCAGTAGGACGCTAAACCAGCAACAAAACACAGATTATGAAATGAGCTGAGATCTGCGATGCCCCGGAGACAGAGGTTGAGACATAAGCTTCGTCTGTCATGTGAAACTCCCTAATCGCCACACGAGGCAGCGGCTAGGTGATCTGCGCGCTCGGAGATCAACCTTTCAACCACCTGCGTTGCAGGCAATGCACAAGTTGGTCATGCCATTCTTGCTCTGCCTCCTTGCCCCCTTCCTCTACCCATACGTAGCCGCTCAAGTACCTGATAGCTGTCGCAACAGTTGGTCCATGCTGCGGGGCCAACATTTGTAAACGGGTAGGCTGGCCTTTGACCTCAGCACTACTACAAGATACTGCAAGGGTCTGAGAAGTCAGCTTCCATCACTATGCCGAGCAGTGCTGGTAAGGAGCCTACAGAGTCGACGCACGGCCGCAGAAACGTTTGGCACAAGCTCGGGGGGCTTGATGACCACCTTGCAGGGCATGCTGCCTGTGCACGGCTTACGCATCATTTACCTGGGCGCGCGGCATGATTACCAGCTGCCAACATGGACACGGCCGGCGCCATGCTCAAGGTGGCCGGCGCATTCCATGGGGCGATGTTAATGCACACCTTGCTAACAAGATGGTTTGGTTCACTTGCTGGTCCTGCAGCAAGTCCTAGGATCTGGCTCCTTTGGGCTCATTGTAGATTGCCCACTCCGCCTGATTCTCAAGAAAGCTGGAACTGAACATTGTCTTGCTGCAGGCCTCTATGCCGGCCCTCAATGGATCAGGCACTAGCTCTTCCAAAGGCTCCTGCACGCAAACTTGTTGGCACTCACATTCAGTAGATCATAGTAGATCAAGTGGTCTCTCCGGCTGCATCCAATCTGGAAGCAGGCCCTTGTAGAAAGCGATGCCTGGGACACATCTCCATGTGAGCAAAAAAATCTTTCAAGCACTTCAAGCATTGCAACTGTCAGCTGCCGCCCAACCTCCCAACAGCATCTTGACGGTGCCCTGGAAGTTGGCCGGCACCACCTCATCCGCCGTTGTCTTGGGCATCTGCATTTGCAATGAATTTGCTTGGAGTGCCGGGGCTTCCAGCGCGATCAATTTCCTGCGCTTTGCTAATTTCCTCGCACCCGTCCTTCAGCAGCTGGCCAACCTGTCAAATCCAGGGCCATCGAACGCGCAGAAAATGTAGCAGGAGGACCTTATCCAGCGCAGCTATCCGATCCTCACACGTCACAGCACGCTTGTACAAATCGCTTCCGTATCCGGCACATCAACTTTGTAAAATGGGCATGTCCTCAAGTGTGGTCAGAGGGCGGCCATGCTCACGAAGGAAAGCAATGGGCGCTGGTCCTTAACGAGAAAGAAATGCATCCCAAAGCACATCAGGTTCACAGTTTGCCTGGTGTGGTCCGGCTTGTTGTCCTACGCTTGCTTACACAGAACGAGTGCGTGTGACAAGGCGCAAGCTGTCACGTCCAAAGCAGTCCTGTAGTACAGATGGCGTGCCGCATCTGTCTCCTGCTTGTTGGAGATCTGCAGCTGTATCCTCAGTTCATGGCTGAGTCTGTACATGCCGATTTGAAGGTTTCCCAAAATTAGGGGTCCCTATAAGCATTGTCTTATTTGGGGGTCTATGTTGGGTACCCTCGTGTAAGAAAACTACCATTTCGCACACAGAGGCGCAAGAGGACCGCATCACCTCTCTCCCGACCCCTTCACAGCCTGTTCCATTATGAAATCTCCGGAAATGGTGCCAGTGATCAATGCAGACTGAATATGGACCCCTCCAGTAGTTCGTAAAGGTTCCTTGCTGCTGAACCGGCACTACTAGTACCAGCTCTTACCAGCTTCATTTGTTGCCATCACAGGTATAGAATGTACTACGAACATGGTCATTTTGATGCCTGCTTTCAAACGGATAGCTCTCAAAGGGTTGAAGTCGAAATGGCCTCAAGCCTGAGTAGGTCGAACACCCCAAGGCGCCGACATCATCTTATCAGCAGACAGCAACTGCCTCGGCAGTGGTGGTTGCAAGGTGTCATTCGTACGTAGATGACGGTGTGCTACATCAGTTCCATTTTGACAGATCGACCTGTCAATGAGCAGGGTCTGCGCAGCAGCCGCAGGATCCGTCTCAGCTACACAGCGTCCCAGCACTTCATCATGCTGAAAAGCGCATGCTGAGCATCTGGCTTGGGCAGTACGTAGCTCTGTTCTCAACGTCTGAGACCTGCTGTACAAAAAGTGCGATGACATCAAAGAGCTGACCGGAACCGTTTCTAAGTCAATGTCCCATCTATCCATTGACTGCGCCATTCCAATGCGCCATTGAAGCCTCTGCCGCTTTCACGCTACCATGCCGCATGCTCAAGCAAAATTCTTCTTCCTTTGCCCAATAAAGCTTGAAGATGAATGCATTCTTAAGTGCCAAGTGGTTGGTGCGAAACGCCGGTCTTACATGAAGACTGCACAAACAGAAGCTGCGGTGTCTGCAGATGTAGGTGTCCAGCTCCCACGACAGGAGAGGCAACAAAATCATGTCCGGAACGGGTGCGAGCCCGGTTCTGACGCCAAGTGTGCCACCCATGCAGGTTGGCCCGTTGTGCGATTTCTGTTGGCCCCAGCCAGGGCGCGGTGCGGTGCTCAAGTCCTTCTCAGGACGGTCGGGAATGACACCGGCATCCTGCAATTTGTAGACACGGCCGTCATGTGCAAGGTCATGAAAAGCCCCGTGTCAAGCGCCATGTGAACAGAGGACTTCCTCTCGCCAGAAACCATGTTGAGAGTTGTCCAAGCTGTGCATCTGGATCATAGATCGTGGCAAAATGTGGTAAAACATATGGGTTGAATCACATGTTATTCTCAAAATGGCCGCAGTCAAAGTTAGCTAGTCATGCCGCTGTAGTGAGGGCCGAGCAATTGTCCTGACCATGGAAGGCCTCATCTTGTATGTCTTGCTCAATGAACCCAAGTCTCGGAAGCAGCAAGAGCTGTGAGAGCCCAGCAGCCAAAGCCGCAGCCTCAGTGACCGGGCAGTGCTGCCTAGTTTAGAATATGAGGACAAGGGTAAGCTCAGCCACGTGTTCAGGAGCAACCTTCCATTCATCTCCAAGATCACCGCACAACAAGCAGTGTTGCCTCAGCACTCGCGGGGAAAATGCTAACTTTGCTTGCACAAGTTTGAGCCCAACTCTGAGGCTTGCACGCAGCAGAGTGGACTTCAAAAGTGACCCTGTCTGGGTTTGCACTCACACCTCCAGCGGCGTGTGCATGCATTTCGCTCGCACGTTTTTTTTGTGCTAATTGTTTGCCTGCATTTTGCTGGGAGCTCGTGCTGCCAAGCTGCGTTTGTTTGGCCTTTCTTTCACGCCCCTGTTCCGCTGTCACGTTCAACGCGCTACGAGCAGAGCCCCCCAAGCAGCGTGTGTGGTTCGGTATCCAACGAATCCAAAAAAAGTCCAGAGCTAGGAGCTTTGTTCAAGGTTTCTGCGACTCGGCGAGAGGTGTCCATGAGCTGCACGCCCTTCCGGTTTGCTAAAAACCTGCCAAGTCATTAAGTATGGCACACGTTCGACAACACGACATGAACTTTACGAGGAACACGGCCTCAAAGTTGTCAGCAGGTGTTTCAAGAATGCCAGTGAAACTCAACTGAACTTGAAACACTCCAGCAATTCCACGGGTGAGGCATCAAAAAAAAACTTTATAAGCATCAAACAAAAAACATACGCCCAGCGCATCAAAAAAAAACTTTTTAAGCACCAAAAAAAAACTTTTGTACTAAATTTA